GGAAAATACTTTGAATTATATACTAACTCCTACGAAAAGCTTTAGTACATTTAAAACAGTTCGAATGATGGAACTAAAAAATACAGTTAATAATTCAAAAAATAAAAGTAGCAGTATTAACGGAATTAATACCAAAATCTTGAAATTGGCTTTTGAAGTTATAGGCAACCGCTTTCTCCAGCTTATAAATTCTAGTATGGAAATAGGATGTTTTCCCCAGGATTGGAATAGAAAAAGCGAGTGGAACAGTAAAATATGAATAGCATAGACCATAGACCAATAATTAATATGGTACTTGTATATGAAAAACTTCTAGTCAATCAGCAATTACGTCAATACGTAGAAGAAAATAAATTACTTACAAAATACCAAGCTGGTTTTAGGAAGGAACATTCATGTGTGAGTGCGCTTCAGTCTGTTACTTCAGAATGGAAAAATGTTTTGAGTGTGGGTCATTATGTGGGTGTTGTGGTTATAGACTTTAGGAGAGCATTCGAAACAATAAGTAGAAATTTGTTGATAAAAAACTAGAAAAATATGACTGTGACTACATAGACAATTTGGTTAAAATGGTTGATGAAAACTTAAAGACATTATATGCCTGATTAGGGAACAATAGTCTTAGTATTAATGTTGACAAGACTATGTGTATGATACTGAAATCTAAATTTAATGTTCAGGATACTTATCTGCACGAGGGATTTAGAATAGAAAATAATAAGATTAAACAGGTTAACAGGTATAAATATTTAGGAGTTATGATCTCAAATATAACATTTAATAGCCATGATTATATTATAAAAAAAGTTTCTACAAAAGTTAATTTAATGTGTAGGGTAACAAAGGACCTTAATTCATGGACGTCACTACTTATATATAAAACAATAGTCATGCCTCACTTTAACTACTGTTCCTTCATATTATATATGTTTCAGAAAGGTGATATAGATTCACTACAGAGAAAACAAAATCAGGCTCTTAGATGCATATGAAGATGTAAAAGATACACAAGAATAACAGACATGCTAGAAGTAACTAATTCATTAAGTACCAAACAAAATATATATTTTACAATAAAATGATAGTCATCTACAAAATAAAGAGCGAAATGTATCCGAACACATATTGGTAGGTTTGCAATTAGTCTGTTATATTCATAGTTACAATACAAGGAATAGGTTTGATTTTTATGTTCCTGTTGTGAGGTCTGCTTTTGCGCAAAATAGTTTATTTCATAAAGGCCTTATACATTTTAATAATTTACCAGCTCAAATAATATCTACAAAATTTGTCAAATTCAAAAGACAATTAAGAGTTTATGTAGAAAATAGTCTCAGTTTTGAATAATAAAATTATATATATATTGTATTGTTTAGCTTGAATCTATTAAAAAAAAATAAAGATAAATAAAAGGGGTCTGTTATTTTCATCCTATTCCTGGAAATTTAGCACGAGCTGTCGGCCTTCTCCATTGATGGTATTTTCGGATATTGTACAATTTTAGATTGAAGATTGATAACAAGGGCAAGTAGAATTGCACGCCGGTGTCAAGTAAGTTGTCACTCTGACAAATATGATTGAAGGGCACTCGTACGAAACGACAAAGTTTTCGAGACGGAGACACAACTAAAAAACGTATGTCTTCGAGCTTACCGAACAAACGTTCACACACAGGAGTAGGTTTCATGTGTATCTATGAGGGAGATGGAGATATATATATGGATACCGGTAGTTTCACTTTGACCCGCCAAGAGCGGTGAATCCGTACAACTATACGTAGTTTACTTTTCGACAAAACTGTCAACTTTTTAATAGAAAATTGTCGCTACGAAGATATTATTTTCAAAAATACTCGTAGGTCTAGTTTTGGCAAAAAGAGCAACAGACAGAAAAATATATTTTATAATGTTTGGTGGTACGACGTTTGTCCAATTCATAAAAGATCAGTGGCCTTTAGAGAAAAACCCAAGGATGACGGTATAAGTACTATTCAAGTTCGAATGAATCCTAAAAATTATACAGCTCCGATCAGGTAGCAAATAGAAATAACGACGTTAAGAAATTTGTTAGAAATAAATGCCGTTTTAATTCAGTGGCAGTGACACAAACATATCTACATAAAAATATCTCTTAAATGATAGATGATTTATTGCTATGGGCTTTGGGACCACAAGTCATGTATGAGAATTATTGACATGGAATAATGAAGATGAATGGCACTATGTGAAATATGATAGCAAAAGCGACCTTTGTGCTCTTTTGGAATAGGTTTATGCCGTATGCCATTATTTTTTTTAAAAAAACGTGCTTTGATATCTCTAGAATCTAGGGTGAGTAAAGGTGTTTCCCTCACCATGATTCTCCGACTGTATATTGAAAGATTTACCTTTTTATGACTTTCCAAGTTTATAACACATCTGTCAGCCGCTGTTTATACCTAAAGGATCTTATTTGGTTAAAAATAGTATGAACAACCTTCTGGACTGTGCACCTGGAACTGTCAGAAAATAGCTCCTTTAAATAACGCCATAATAATGGCCACACTAGTAAATTTTATCACACTCACGTATGCTCACAGCTATTTCAACCGCTGCAATTCTCTGCTACAGCAATGCGCAAATGAGTAGTACATCAAACAGCCCTTAGCGCTAAGTAAGTGATAAAGCATGTCTGCATCCCTCGGAACGTTTTCATAATAACTAAGTCATTATTGCAGTAACGAGCGATTTTGTGAATGCACGTTATTCCGTCTTTACCCCTCTGAGTTATGGCCTATAAATGTCTGCCAGCCAAAAAGCGGTATCAGGAATTATATCTAATAGCTCTTCCCATCCATCTTCTCGTCTGTCATCCGCTAAATCAACGCCAGTTACTTTTGTTTCGCAGCGCAGGTTAGGTCTCGTTTGTGTAATGTAGACCTTCGAGTCGAAAAGGAGAAAGAAGCTTGAGGTTATATGAAATTTATACATTACTTTTTATAAAATATGCCGTTTTATGTGTAGACTAGTCACAATCACCTCAGTGACCTCTTCAAGGTACAAATCAAACAACGATAATGACACAAAGAGCATTAAGGCCCGGTTTTTCAATCGCAGGTTAACTACGACCTTGGTCTTAACTTATAGTGATTTATGAAAAAGCGTTTTTCAATATCATGTTTATAGTAAAACATAAGTTAACTTTAACCAGAAGACCATCTATGAGTTAACTAGAAAGGCTGTAGTTAAATAGCAACACCTGACATTTTTTGACATAAACTTTAACGTTTATTCAAAAAATCACAACAAATCCATATCAATCTATCGATTAATTTAAGCCATAAACATGTTAATGGATTACGAAGTGAATGCGTATATAGCAGTGACGAAGACGCGAGAAGGCCAAAAATAATCCGCCATCGGTCGAATTACTTTGATGAATTTGATGACCTCGATTTCCTTGAAAGATTTCGTCTTACAGAAAGGACTGTAGAAACTCTCCTGGACGAAGTCTATGAAGATTTAGTATATCCTACAAGCAGGTAGATATATATTCGAAGTTGAGTCATTTATTTTAACAGTGAGTAGATCTGATCAAAAGAAATGTTTTTTCCTTTACCATTTTTCTGGTAAAATTAAAGTAACAAAGTTATAGCCCTTTGGAAGTTTGAGTACCGCCCTGTCTCAATAATAATATTATGTGCTCGTGTTTGGCGACAACGGATATAATCCGCCTTATCGGTTCATCGCATCGGAAACAAAAAAGCGAAAGAATTTAGAACGATGTTTTTACAATTATTTCATTCAGTTGTATACAGTCAGTGTCAGTCGGTAGTTGATAGTGGTGTCTGTTGCGTGGCTCAAACGAAATAAAAAATGGCACATGTTTATGCGGATCGGTTTCCCAATCGAGTGCAACCAACCCCTCGTGCCTTTGTTAATGTAGTACAACGGGTTCGTGAATCATTTGACTTAAGACCTCACATATGGACGGTATGACGGTGCTCCAAGACCTCACGATCAAATACAGGTCCGCACTGAAATACTTGTCGGGAGGATACTTTATAAAACAAGGTAAAAATTTTTTTTTATTTTTACACACATATTTTGGTTTATCTTCCTTCTACAATCATTATCTGGAAATTAATGACTCAACTTTAAAGTCACCCTGTATATATATTATTGTTTATTTCCGTATTTTTACATGACTTTGTCATTCCAGGAATAACTGCTTAACGCCCCAACAGCAGCTGTTGTTAGCACTGCGCAAAGGAAGTTTTTTAACTGTTGCTGGACATTTTTCTGGAGTTTTCAAATCAACTGCATCCAAAATAGTCCGAAGATTCTTAAAAGTACTAACGAGTAAAAGAAGTAATTACATAAAAATGCTGGACACTCTTGTGGCTCTTGCCATGGCAAAGCAATCTTTTTATAAATAACATAGCTAGGTTTCCTCGATGCATAGGTGCAATTGACTGCACCCATATAAGCGAGGAAGCCATGCAGCGCTCTTCAGAAATCGGAAGCAGTTTTTACACTGAACTGTTTCTGAAGCAGGTTCATACATTTTCGGAAATCCTCAGCTCTGCAGACGATTTGAATCAGTTCACTTTGGAAACTCTTTGTTGGCTGGTGACAAAGGTTATCCTATTAAACGCCATTTGATGACACCATTTAATACAACTACAACTCCTGCTGAAGAATTATACAATGAATCTATCATTCGTAGTCGCAATGGAGTTTTAAAAGAAGATTTCGATGTCTAGCTATGGGTCTCAGAGTCCATCTAGATACAGCTCAAGCAGTTACTCTAGGAACACCAGCGCTACATAATATTGCTCTCCTAATAATGAAGCTATGCCCCCTATTAGTCCTGAACAGGAAAATGCTATTTACATGGTTCATGTAGATAATGTGAAGACAGATCCTGTAAATATTACGTTGCCACAAAATGCAATAAACAATGTTAGAACTTACCTTATTAATGATTATTTTGCAAATTTGTAAATCAATTCAATACATTCACTGATGCTCAGTGAATGACTCGATACTAGATGAAAGCTGTTTAGTATAAGATCTGTGATAATCCATGGCAATTGGATAGGAGTCGTGGTCAAAATTGTTGTTGCCCAAAAAAGGCGCACACGGCCTTTGAAAATAGATGTCCCAAGCCTCAAAATGGGCACTCAGTCGATCTTTTTGGACACCTAAAGTTTTCGCCATAGCTCTCATCTACTTGACATATGAATTATCCCCTATTTATTGTAACTACAGAATGAAAATAAACATGATTTTCTGAAAACAGTTTATTATTGAACTAACATATTATGCTCAAAAATGCGAAATACAAAAGAAAATAGTGAAAGTGAAAATCTTCCAGCAATTAACAAAATAAATCCTTTGTTTTCTACTTATCAAATGCGTTGATCTGTAAATCTAACATCTGAACCTTTCTTCATATATTTCCATTTTTTTATTGTGTTATTCGATGAATTTTTCTTTTTGTAGTTTCAAAAAATACAGCTTTTCTTCGATTAGTAGATAGTTAACAGAAATATATTTTTTATTTTGTACCGTTTTCGTACATGATAGCTTTGTAGTTTTGAGCCTCTTCAGTTGTTGGAGAGTATAGGCGCTCGATTTCCCATTATTGAAGACCACTTCACTGTCATCACAGTTATTTGCATCAGGAACTAAAAAATGAATAATTAAAAAAATGCTTCAATAAACAGCAATGAGACTTATACTATGTTCAATAACCACATCTTTTTGGTTACTACAGTCATCATCAGAATTGTTTGTCAAACCTTCTAATTGTGGTCCCATTATTTCTTGTAATTGTGTATCAATCAGATCGAATGCTTGCAATTGGCATGAATCTCTACCTGTCTTGATTATATTGCTTTTCTTTGTAGCAAATTTGCTTTTTGGTTTTTTCTTTAAATTGAAATATTTAACTAGTTTTTGCCTGTCGGTGGCACCCTGTTAGGGCTTGGAATTCTTGTTCGATGCTCTGCCATACTGAACTTTTCTGTTTCCACGTAACTGTGCCACTTGTTTTGCTCTCTATTACATCTTTAGTTTTGCTCACCAATGATATTAGCATCATTTCCTCATTCTTCGAGAGACTTTGAGCTCCCTTTTTGATCTCTTTCTCCATGCTAGAAAACAGTTTTTGAGAAATTTTAGAGGTATTGTGTATCCCCTTTATTTTTGATTGTAGATTATAGAAGCGATGTTAAAAAGGTGGAAAATACGATATTCAGCTGACATTTACAACTTAATTGTTTTTTGACCTTAGTACGGTTCAGTAGACATTGCATTTGCAACCTTTTTTATCACCATTTATATAATGCCGTCTATAGGGTCTACTACTAAACATTTGTACGAGCAATGTTTGAAAAAACTTACCTTGCTTGACGAAGGTTTTATGTTTTATTCGTTTTTAATGAAATTTCCGGATTTCGATTTTGCCTATTTTAAGAAATTTTAATTCAATTGGACTGTCATGTATGATACGGAACACAGATGCCGAGCGCACAAAACGCATAGAAGACGATATTTAAGAACCGCAGATACAGGGTTGTAACATAAATATATGTTGAACTTCTGGTAAGTTAACTGACGCTGTCACATTACTTGAAAAACGCATTTGCAAGTAACTACAAGTTAACTTTATGGCAATAGTTAACTAACCAAAAAGTTAACTTGCGATTGTAAAACCGGGCCTAAGAGATGAACAGCAGTTATTCCTTGGTTATGCCCTTCAATATGACTGAATTGTCATTAACCCTTCTGGCATAGAGCAGAGAGCTGAGAACATGGAACACGCAATGGTCCAACGTCAATGATTATAAATATTGAGCCAAGTGAATAAACTTTAGTAAAGCTTGTACTAGGGCATTTGTAGGTAAATACTTAGGATTGAGTGAGTAAGTAAGTACTTAGCTTATGTAGTACAATCTGAGTTTTTCCGAGTATTCACTTAAAATTTAGTGAATAATGGACAGTTAAATACTTATGTTGTTAGTAAATACTCGATAATTTGTAAGGTAAGTGAATAGTATACTTACGTTTGAACATGGCAGATTTCATGCAGTTACGTGCGGGTGAAACATATCGAAAAAGACGGAATGTTAGCTCTAGTCAGTCAAGACGTTTGTTAAGGTTTGATTCAGAAAGTGTAGATTTCTTATGTTCCGGGTTTCTGCCAGAAAATAATGAACGCAGAGGCGGAGCACTATCTGCAAGAACAAAAATGGAGATATTTCTACGCTATCTAGGCGATCCAGGGCTTCAGAGCGGAGTAACAGAAGACTGTGGGATTCACCGCCAGCAAATCGATAAGTTGGGTTCTTAATAAAGTGTACCAGAAGGCAGATCACTGGATTAGATTTCCAACAAATGTCGCTGAACTAAATGTTGCAAAAATTAAATGGCAACCACGTTTCACAATTCTTACTGTGATCGGTGCGTTGGATTGCACTCAGGTAATAATAAAAAGGCCAAGAAGATTTGCTGACGAGTTCGTAAATCGCAAAGGCTATACAAGTATAAATGTACAAGCTACGTGTGATGCTAGCGAAAAATTAACAAGTATAGGTGCGTAGTGGCCGGAAAGTGTACACGATGGCAGGATTTGGAGGAGAATTACTGTAAATGAAGTATTATCACATGGATAATTTTGTCTTCTTGGTGATTCTGGATATGGAACATCACCATCTGGTGCGATCTCAATAAATTACATCTAAATATAAGTAAGTGCAGAGTAGTTAGCTATAGCAGAAAGATAAATGTTCGTGTATTCAACTATAATATCGATGGTGTGGTGCTGGAAAGAAGCGATATAGTCAAAGATTTGGGTATTATATATGACCATAAATTAACATTTACTACTCATATTTCGCGGAAAGTTTCGGAAGCCTTTAAGCCTTACGGTTTCATTGTCAGGAACTGTAAGCGATTTGATAACTTAAGGGCCTTAAAAGTCTTATATTTTACATATGTACGTACAAAACTAGAATATGCGGGTGTTGTATGGAATCCGTATTACCAGACTTATATAAATGATATTGAGAGGGTCCAAAGAAAATTTCTAAAGTTTCTATACTTCAAATCTGAAGGAGTTTACCCTGAGCAAGGCATTAGCAATATGGAAGTATGTGAGCGTTTTGAAATTCATAGTTTAGAATGTAGAAGGAAAGTTTCATCTGCCATATTCCTTTTTAAACTGCTAAATAGCATTATTGACTCCACAGTCATTTTGGCACAGATTAATTTCAATGTTCCTTCGTTCTCTTCACGCAACTGTAAGTTTTAAACTATCAAGGGCTAGGACCAATGTGTTAGTCAAATCTCCTACATATGTTATGTGTAAACATCTAAATTGTATTAGCTGTCATTGTGATATATTTACTTGTTCGCTTAACTCAGTAGTTAGAATGGCTTATTTGTATTTGAAATAACTTTTTTTTTAACACCACTGAATATTATTTAATTGTGCTTATGTAATTGTCCCATAAATGGGGTAACTGTTGAACAATAAACGCTGTTATTATTATTATCACCACGGCTCTTGACTCCATTTAAACCTGCAATAAACAAACAACAAGAAAGGTTTAACCTGTTACATTCTCGGGAACGGATGATAATAGAAAGACTATTCGGACAACTGAAAATGCGCTTTCTTATACTCAGCAATACTGTCAGAGTATCAAGTGAGAAGAAGAAGACGTTTTTTGCCGTCGCGTCGTAAGGAATACGTAGTACTGGTGTAGCGAAGCAAATACTTAAATTGGAACTTTTATAAGTAAATACTTGCTAGTAATTACTTCAACTTTTCCAGCAAACGCTACCTAGTAAAAGCAAACGCTTATTCTCTCTAAATTAAGTATTTGCTTTTGCTTGACAGACCTTACTTTACTAAAAAGTAAATACTTCCTAGTGTTAACTACTTTTTATTCACTTGGCTCATTAATAACCCACCTAATTACTTTTTAGACTCTGCACAAAAAAATCAATGCATGACTCCATCGAAACTCAGTAGTTCTGCGCCTATTGGGATGTGATATCCTCTTTTTTTCACTGATAACTGTTTACGGATAATTATATGGCACAGACGACACAAAATAAAACACAGACGGCACAACATATATGGAAAGGAAAGAACCGTATGGAAACCAACATTTGTGCAAGGTTGTTATTGGTCTTAACTGTCAGTACCAGTGACTTCACGAAGAGACAGTTTGTTACGTCATCATTTTACAGCTGTTAAGGGACCTGTTCACATGCGAGCATGTCCGGCGGATCTGTCCGACGGACAGATCTGCTGCGCGCTACTGACATGCGAATTTGTCCGTATACATTCACCGACAAATCTGGATAGACGAAGTTTTTGGTTCATTCAGTTACTGATTTCCGCGTTGTGAAATGGATAATAAAAAGAAACTTGCGATAATTGGAGGATTCATAGCTTTATTTGATGAAAAGAAGAAGAAAAGACTGTGGTCAAAGCGGTGGTTCTTAGAATGAAGAAAGTATTCTCATATGAGTTTAATTAGGGAACTCCAAACAACAGAGCCTCATGATTTGCACAACTTTTTACGAATGGATAAAGAAGCATTTGAAATGTTATTACAATATGTAGACCCATTAATCCAAAGAAATACCACCCATATGAGAGAAGCAGTGAGTAGCAGAGAGCGATTAATTGCTACGCTACGGTACTTAGCAACTGGAAGGAGTGTTGAAGACTTGAAGTTTAGTTGTGCAATCTCCCCACAGCTTCTCGGGAAAATAATACCTGAAACTTGTTGGGCATTATTTATGACACTAAAAAACGAATATTTGAAGGTTAGTAAATGATTTATTAGTTAATAAGTATAATATTACTTATAAAGTATGTTACAAACTTATTTTTTATTGCTTTGAAGTTGCAGAAACTCGGAAACGTCACACTTATTCGTATCATAATATATTGTATTATTTTTTGATGATGTACTGGGTTGCTCATGTTGAATCTGAGTAACTCGAAGATTAGATTCTTGTATAGCTGGTTGTTGAGAGGGTGGATCATTTAGCTGAGTAACTGAAGGATGCGAAATTAGTGCGGCTGGTTGTTGAAAGAGTGTATCATGTAGCTGAGTAACTGGCGGCTGTAAAACTGGTATGGTTGACTGTTGATAGAGCGTATTATTTTGTGGGTGAGAAACTAGTGTGGCTGGTTGTGTTGCAAACTGATTTCCATAGTAAGTGGTAGGATTTTGCCCATAATCATAGAAGTTTTGAAAACTGTTGCCTGAATGTTGGTGGGTTGGTGCACGAAAGGTACAGTTTTCCGTAAGCCTTCCTAATTTTCCGTAAAATAAAACATCGGAAATTATTTTTTGCGCAATAATTCTTTGTCTTGCGTCCATGTGTTCGAGATCAACTGCTACGCTTTTTCCAAACGGTTCAAATGGAGATATTGGTTTTTCTGGAGCTGTAAGGGCAACATTTGCTGCGTCTAGAAACTTTGCTTTTATATGGCCTAGACTACTATTTCTATTTGTGGACCTGCAACTTCCACGGCTACTTTTTTCAGCATGCTCAGAATAGTAGCTGCTTACGGGAGTTCATGGCTCGCTTAATGATTCAGGTTGTTCATCCTGAAAATAATAATACACATTGTTGTAATTCAAATGATATTTCACATGATTTTTGTTTCAGTTTCCATCAAGCACAAATGATTGGCTGGAAATCGCAAATGGATTCAAACGTTCCTGCGACTTTGAACATTGCTTGGGAGCCATGGATGGCAAGCATATTGCCATAAAAAAACCGCCTAATAGCGGTTCGTTTTTTTACAATTATAAGGGATTTTTCAGCACCGTTTTGTTTGCCATTGTAAACGCTAACTATGAATTTATTTATGTATATACAGGAATAAATGGCAGAGTTTCAGATGGAGGTGTCCTGCAAGAGACCGATTTTTACGAGAAACTCGAAAATCATACTTTAAATATGCCTCCTCCTCATCATCTTGAAAAATCAGCAGTCAAATTACCATACGTTTTTATAGGAGATGACGCTTTTAGCCTAACAGAAAATGTAATGAAGCCCTATTCAATAAATGGTATTAGCCACGATGAAAAAGTTTTCAATTATCGCCTATGCCGAGCAAGGAGAGTGGTTGAAAACGTGTTTGGCATATTGGCTTCTCGCTTCAGAATATTACTGAGCACAATTACACTAAGTAATGTAGAAAAAGTCGATAAAGTCGTATTGGCATGCTGCGTATTACATAATTTTTTAAGAAGAAAATGTTCCAACTATATGAATATTCGCTCAGTTGATCGCGAAAACAGTGATCACATTATTCAAGATGGTGATTGGCGTGAAGAGCTTCGTCAGTTACATGGTTTACAAAACAGAAGGACCTATTACAATGATGTTGCTAAAAATGTCAGAAAAGCATTTACCAACTACTATAATAATGAAGGAGGAGTATCATTTCAAGAAAATATGATCAACGGAAATTAAGAATAATCGAAAAGTCTTACAAAAAGTTGTATTTGATCGAAAATGGTTGCATTTTTTATTAAAAATAAACGTAATAAAAAAATTACTTACCCTTGTTTCACTTTGAGTTTCCTCTTCTAATTCCTGGAATGCCATTGAAGAGGTTCCAGGGCGAACTTCTTCCTGATCCCGAGTAAAAAATAGTAATTGAAAATACCACAAACTGGGTTCATAAAAACTATCCGTGGAGGCCCCAGTTTTCTTACTTTTTCTAATTTCTCTTAATTCTCGGCGAAAGCCAGCACGCAAGGAATCTATTTTTTTTCTTACAAACTTCACATCTGCCAGAGGCCAAATTTCCTTGCATTTTTCAACTAATGCTTCATATGCGTCATTTCGCAATTGTTTGTTAGCATATTCCTTGCTTTTTACATTCCACAAGCAAGGCTTTGACTTATAGGGTCCGGCAGTGGAATGTGACGTTTTTCGGTACACTGTATTTATTAGCAATTTTGTTGTAAAAATAAGTAAAAATTTGAAAAATAATACTCATTGAATGCAGTTTTTAACAGTTTATTATTTTTTAAAAATTACAGATTTTAAATGTCCACCATTAAACTCTATACATTTTTCAATATTTTCTCGGACGCGGTTCATAACTGCGCCTCGAAGCCTTCCATCAATTCTTCTTATCTCCTCAGTTATGTTGTTCTTTAGCTCATCCAGTGTGCGGGGTTTGTTTACATACACTTTAGACTTTAAGTACGCCCATAAGAAACAATCTGGAGCCGTTAAGTCAGGAAAACGTGCTGGCCAGGCAAGGTCTCCATTTCGGGAAATAATTTGCCAGGAAACTTATTCCTTAAAAACTGCATAACTATTCTAGCGGTATGACTAGTTGCCCCATCCTGTTGAAACAATATTTCGTGATCTTCAACTCTCAATCTACGTAATTCTGCAGTAAGAAATGTTTGTAGCATTTGCAAATATCGCTCCGAGGTAACGGTTACAGTTCGATTATTCTCTTCAAAAAAATACGGTCCAATAATCCCGAAGGTTGCAATACTGCACCAAACCGTAATTTTTTCAGCATGTAAAGGTTTTTCATGCAACTGCATTGGTTGTTCTGCACACCAATATCGAAAGTTTTGTTTATTAACAAAACCCGATAAATGAAAATGAGCTTCATCAGACATAATTAAATTATCCATCAGATCTGGTCTTTTGCGCAACAGTCTTACAAATTCCCTGCAATATGCAAGTCTGTTAGGTGGATCTTGTGGGGATAATTGATGCACAATCTGTATTTTATAAGGATGAATCTTAAGATCGTCATGCAAAATACGGCGCACTGTACGATCTGATAGGTTTAGAGCCCTTGCATGTTTATTCGCTGAACGTGCTGGACTGGCTGTTACTGCTTCCTCAACTCTTAGCTACTAAACTGCATACAATAACAAACACATCAGTCATAAACAGAACTCCCCCACCCATTCATTTGTCAGGCAGTGGCGCGTTAAAATGTGTCACATTCCAGTGCCGTACCCAAATAAAACTTTCCCAAAATGGTTTGTTATCCGCGAAAGACATTTTAATAACATAAATCCAAACTATCCCTCTTGGACTTTATTAGGTAAATGCAAAATGAGATGAAAAATTTTACGTCCGGCGAGCAAATCCGCAACAGGTCTATTCACGTACGTATCTGTCCGGCTCGCTAGCGGTGATCGTCGTCTTGGGCTACGGACGGCGAGCCAGACATGTACGCCGAGCGCGTGCATATACACGTGCGGATCTGTCCGACGAGTACGTCTCTCGGACAGATCCGCCGGACATGCTCGCATGTGAATAGGTCCCTTTAGACCAAACACGACCGGTTATGATTGGTAGGTCACTTTAAATTGCTTTATACTTTATCTCTCTGTCTTCAGGTGATATTTTCGATTGCTATTATACAGCGTACTCGGATAATAGGCGATCGTAGGCGGGGTCAGAGTAAGTGCATGCTAAATGCATACGTGTTCCCTTGCTAGAGTCCGTGTGGCGTCCCCCTATACCCTCACGGTACCCCATGGCTGTTTAGGGCTTAGGCTTTCGTAGTAGCTGGAGTATAAAAAAATAGTCTAAACGGCCTTGTGTATGTCCGATACATCCAAAACAATAGATAACTTCATGCTAGCTTGTTGCTTTGGTCTTTTGGGAGCAGGTACGCCTACCTCAGTCAGGCCTGGAGCTTGTTGGGTTTGCGCAGTACCGTTTTATTGTTGTGAGGATGGTTCAGCGCGATCTCAGCATGGTCCTTCATTCGGGCTACTATTGGAACACAGTGTCCAAATGCGGCAAAGACAAATCAACTGTCACCTGAAAGAGAGACAAAATAATATGTTCTGATTGATGTTTGATTCATACTTTGAAAGAAAATACTATGGTGCCCAAAATGTTAGTGAACATTTAGCCTCACACATATATGGATTTATGTTGCAAGCAAGAATAAGCATTTTTGGCTTTAACTGGTCAATCCACGCTACCCATTACCCTCTTCGCTAGAGAAAATGCATCAACAGGGTGACGTATTCTTACCAAACTTCATAACGAAGAGCCCAATATTCGACCAATCTGTAGATTACCCGTTGAAAGGATGCAAACTTGAACATTGACACCTTTCATGCGGCAGCGATTAAAATGAAATTTCGCACAGCATTGCAATCTTTATTCTTTGAAGCTTATGGTACTTCACTCGTCTTGTACTTCCACACTTGTGTACCAATTCCATTTCTTTCTTCTTAGTATTATGCTTGATTACTATAGATTTGACGCATCTGAAAAGATTGTTTAGAAGATTACGTTCCAGGTACATTTTTTTTGTAGGATGATTTATAAATAAAATGTTCTTTTTGTTTTGAATGTAAACCGTCAATGTCATATCTTTGAAAGCATTACAATTCGTTTCATAGCATTTAAAGATATTAAAACCATGCTAGCAGAGTTTCACTTCTTTTCCTTTACATTTTGTCTGTAACAGCTTCCCGAAGAGTCGACCAGGGAAAATATATGTCTAGTCTAATCATATTGGATGAAAATACCGTTGGTTTGCGAAATAATAATTGTTAAGTCTGGTTTTATCTCTGCAAGTTGTTCAACAGACCATGAGAAAACGTGTTTTTCAATCGAAAGTGTTGACAGGAACGAAAAAACTCTTCATATAAGATTCTTAGGTATCTATGAGACCTACTAAATGAAACCACAGTGAAGAAACGAAAAGTTATGGCCGAAAACCGAGGCTAACTGCAGGTTTTGGCACTTGTTAGTAATGCGACGATGGTTTCCCGCAGATATTTGAAATTCTTCAAATCCGTAGGGTTCGTACTTTAAATAATCACAACACAATTGGAGTAGATTGGTCAAGTAGTTTTTGATAACTTCTTATTGTTTATCCAAAAACACCTGTTTTCCGGCCATAGCTACTAGCTTACTGAGCATAATACAGGGTTAGTTCAAAGGGCATTTTTTAGCAAAATGCACTATTTTTCCTTGCCGATATGAACCGCAAGCCAGTCCGAAAGATATGTTATTTTTATGCAAAAAATGATGGGTGACGTTTTTCCTTCTAAACAAATTTAAACATTTCCCATTTGTGAGTAATTCGCAACAAAAGATGATAGACCCATCGCTTTGTTCTAAGATGTGTATGGTTACGTATGTTTTTCGAATATCGTAGTGCATTTGTTCAATTACTCACAAATATGAGATGTTTGAATTTGTTTAGAAGAAAAAACGTAACCTGTGTATTTCGCATCAACACGATATTTATCTATTGAAATGGTTTGTGATTTATATCGGCAAGGTAAACACGTGTATTTGGCTATTAAATGCTCTTTGAACGAACCCTGTATGTTGCTCAATAAACTAGTACTGA